AGGAGCCATCCAGTAATACTCACGGGACACCCTCAGGGGAGGGGCAGGGGCTCCTGGAGCAGGGAGCTGTCCAGCATTGCCACCCAGATCCACTCCCAGGCTCAGGGATTTCAGGAACTGGTGTATGTGTGGAAAGACTGTCTCTGGCTAGCAGGTGTTCTGAGTCCCAACTATTTTTAGGTATTTCATTTGTTATATTCAAGTAAAAAAAAGTTTGTTTTGTTTTTGAGACAAGGCCTCCGTTACCCAGGCTGGAGCGCAGCCGTGTGAACTTGGCTCACTGCAGCCTCGACCTCCCAGGCTGAGGTGATCCTCCCACCTCGGCCTCCCAAGTGGCTGGGACTACAGTTGTGTGCCACGGCACCCAGCAGAGTCTTTGTATTTTTTTGTAGAGTCGGGGTTTTGCCATGTTGCCCAGGCTGGTCTTGAACTCCTGGGCTCAGGGACCCACCTGCCTTGACCTCCCAAACTGCTGTGTTGGGATTACAGGTGAGAACCACCAAGTCCAACCTTCCAAGAAAATTTAATTGAGTGCTTTTTATCTTTCCTGCTAAAAAGTTTAGCAGAAACAGTTTTGTTAAGCATAACATAAAACACAGAAACCATAAAACAAGAGACCAATAAATTTAACTATAAAAAGATGCACGATGTTTTGTAGTTTTTTTAACTATAAAAAGAGAAGATGTTTGCATGGAGCAAATGACACAGACAAGGTGGAAAGCTAAGAGCAACACGTCTGAGCATGAAAATACACCTGCCGCTGAAGACAGAGGCCAAGGCGAGATTTTCCAGCTTACGAGGAACCTCGGTCAGCAGGAGAGAATTGGCGCCCAGGCAGGAAGCAAGCCAACTCCGTTCACAGGACTGGAAGTCGCTTGGTGTCACCCCAGGTCATCTGGGGATCTTGGGTTGGACCTTCCACGGGATGTGGCTCACGGCTCCTCCAACGTGGACAGGTGGGACAGGCACGGCCGTGCAGGAGGACACAGGTGAGCCCTCAACTCAACACACACGCACCCTGCAGGCTCCAAGAGCTGCCCTTGGACGCTGCTGCCCGTGGGAAAGGCGTATCCAGGATGCCCTTTCCAACGGCAGAAGGCTGGAAACAGCCACCCTCCGCCTACGTGGCATTAGTGTGTGCATGGGAGGTCCGACCTAACCTCCTCTGACAACCTGTAGGTAACGCATGTGTACTTTTCTCAGTGACTACAAAGGTCAGGGCTTACTTCTGAGCAGGAGTGTTTGGTCTGAAGCCAACCTGCCCCTCACCTGCCAGTGTCCTGGTTAACAGAATTTCACAGCAAGCGGTGGCTGCACTGGAGTATGGCGGAGGGCCAGCGGTGTGGGGAGCACAGAGGCCACGTTGGAGTGTGTGGCGGAGGGTCAGTGGTGTGGGGAGCACAGAGGCCATGTCGGAGTGTGGTGGAGGGTCAGCGGTGTGGGGAGCACAGAGGCCACGTTGGAGTGTGTGGCGGAGGGTCAGTGGTGTGGGGAGCACAGAGGCCATGTCGGAGTGTGGCGGAGGGCCAGCCGTGTGGGGAGCACAGAGGCCACGTCGGAGTGTGTGGCGGAGGGTCAGTGGTGTGGGGAGCACACAGGCCACGTTGGAGTGTGTGGCGGAGGGCCAGCGGTGTGGGGAGCACAGAGGCCATGTCGGAGTGTGTGGCGGAGGGTCAGCGGTGTGGGGAGCACAGAGGCCATGTCGGAGTGTGGCAGAGGGCCAGCCGTGTGGGGAGCACAGAGGCCACGTTGGAGTGTGTGGCGGAGGGCCAGCGGTGTGGGGAGCACAGAGGCCACGTTGGAGTGTGTGGCGGAGGGCCAGCGGTGTGGGGAGCACAGAGACCACGTTGGAGTATGTGGCGGAGGGTCAGCGGTGTGGGGAGCACAGAGGCCACGTTGGAGTGTGTGGCGGAGGGCCAGCGGTGTGGGGAGCACAGAGGCCACGTTGGAGTG